TCATTCTTATCGTTCACATCTTGGTCAGCTCGTACACCACCTCGAAGCCAAGGTTCACCGATTGCGACAGCAGCTGGGCGAATTCCTGATTGTTGAAGATCTTCAGCGAACAGCCGGGAGGGATTTTGCACACGGTACTCGGGTGGAACCCGTGATCCCCCGAATCCGACAGGCACTCGGCATACACTTCTCCGTCGACGTAGTACAGGTGTACCCTCTTTCCGATATGAAGACGTGTGCTTTCGATACAGGGTGTCGACTCAAAGTCGAAAAAAAATTCCCTGATTTTCCCTGACTTTGCAGTCGGTTTTCAGAAAAATTCCGTTATTTTAACCTAAGAAGCTACAACGTGATGTGCTTTATTATACCGTAGTGCAAATTAAGGTTAGTTTAAAATGAGCAGCAGGGCAAGCTTTCGAAAATATAAAGAATAGCATACTCATGGCACGTACAACAGAACTTGATACTAATACAATGTTTACAGAACATATACTAACGAAGGATGTGAATAGGCCTACGGCTATAAATACATATTATAATATATAATGAATAACTACTGCTCACAACTAGGCTCACTATTCATTACTAAGTAATAATAGGAATATTTAATCAATGTCACCAAGCTCTCAATTTGTGTTCATTATTTCTCTTAACATATAAATTATTGTAAAATAACAGAGCAGTGATTATTCTTACTTTGGCAACCGAACCTGAGGATGCACTGCTTATGTATTAGTCAGTTTTGTACTCTCTGAAACTCCATATGACAACTGCAGACATGGCAAAATAATTCATGTTTAATTATAATTAACATTTTATTTTCTCAGTGAGTTCACATTACAAATAGAAATTACAAGTTGAATAGTGAAGAGCGCTATCGTAATCGCCCATTTCCGTTCTATCGAGTAGAAATCATCAATAATGTCAATGATTTCACCATGCACAACACAATAATACGTTTGTTCCGATGCGTTAGTTCATAAGCCACAACATGAAGCCTATTACAGCGCATTGTATGAATATGTACACTCATTGTTCTTAAAACAAAAGAAGCGTTCCTAGCGAATCCTACGTTTTTCTACGTTTATCAGTAGGACGAAGAAAATTTAATGGCGTTTCAATGCGTTAGGACGGAATCGAAACTCGTAGGATGAATTTAGAATCAAGAAGCAGTGTTAGATTTTTAATAATATCTCAACATTGTTTGACTCTTTATCAAATCCAACGGCACGTATGGAAAGGTGAATAAATTTAGAAGTTATCTTTGATGAAAACATTCCATGTTTTGTTCAGACCCTTTCAAAAAAGAGAGGTAAAGTGCGAGATGTGCTTAGTAGGACGGAAATTAGATCAAAAACCCTATGTGATTATTTTCGGATTAATTTTAAAAATGTTTATCATTGGAGCAGAATAATTTTCTCCTGCAAACTCTCGGCTTCTTTTTGAGCATCTTGAGCTCTCGGAATAGAGAGCTTCTTTCATACGACGATCCTTGTCTACATGGTAAGCGAATGCGATTTTTCGAACTCGCTGAATAAGTTCATTCAAAATTTGTAAGTTTTCCTACCCGCCTGCATGAGTAGCACCATCATATATCTGACGTTGCACTACGACTGAAACGTAATGTGGGCGGAAGCGGAACAGAATCGGCAAGTTTGACAATTATCACAAATGATATCAAGATATCTAATCGCACTCGATTTGATTCTAACTAGGTTTCAATCCGACAAGTAGTTTTACTCAGATCGGGCTTTTCCGCTACCACTGCCGTTCCGCTGTCATTTCGCTTGGGCCTTGACTCTTCGCTCATGTTTTCAAAAAGATATTCTGCATTTACCGGAAAACCTCTCTCTGCATTGGCGTTGCCATGCGATAAGCAGCAAATCATTTTCACAACCAACAATAATTCTGAATACGTCGACCAATAACCTGTGCCAAAAAACGTCCAGTCGTTCCTTTTTGTGATCATATTGCTCAAATGTGCATTTACCTGTGCAATATTGTTCAGATGATCAATATTAATGAACCTTCATATAATGCATCGAACCATTTGAGACATCGTGTTGCACAAAAAAGGCACCATAGGGTTGTTGGTCTGAAATTAGCATAGAAATGGCTCAACTTCGACAGCAAATGATTTGCAGAAAGCTAGCTTAATGCCACGTTCAGACTACAGAGTTATAACATGTTATAACGGTTGTCAAATAATTGCAACACAGTAACCACCATAAAGATAGTGCTATAACATGTTATAAATCTGTAGTCTGAACGTACTATTAGCCATCAGCAGCGAGTCATTCAAACAGTTTTTAACATCTTGGTAGGAAGCTGACGTTGGTTTGATTTTGTATTTCTGGACGCCTTGAATACATTTTCGTATTTGCGGAGTAATTTTGATTGCCCTCTGAACAGCAGCACTATTATGGAATATGGTAGATCTAGTATACATCGTGATAAACCCTCGTATTGCTGGTACATCTTTCAAGATATTGTAGGTACCATGCACATATTTGACAACATCCCAACTGATACTGCAAGCACTATCCTTGAATGCATTATGCAAAATATACAGCCCACAGCTTCCCGGATCTATCAGCTTCTCACCACGTTTTTGTACCTCTAGCTTCAATTCACATTTAGCCCATCCATGGACACTTGCAGCAACTTGTTCGAAAAGATACTGGCAAGGGCGTCCATAAACGCAGCGAGTAGATCTGATGCCCGGGATCTTCCCAAAAACTTTGACGTCATGCACTGATAAAATTTCAAAGATTATTTTTATGTGTTCCACACATGATTTTTTGCAATGTGATCAACATTATTTTTTTCCCTGACCTACACTAAAATCCCTGATATTCCCTGACTTTCCAGATCATAAATAGAATTCCCTGACATACCCTGACTTTCCAGGTTTTTCCAGGTAGTCGACACCCTGCGATTGTACTGTTGCAGTTGACGTTGCTCAGCTGACCGAGGCAGAAACGATCGGAGTTGATTGAGGGATTTGTGAACCCATCCAGGAGGTGAAATGCAATGGAACACTTCGCCAACCCGGCAGTTCGTAGTAGGCTATACTGACCCAGTAGGGAGGTTCCTGATAACTAACCGCGGCCACTTCGCCGTGCATCTGATTGTTATCCATCTGGTTAACAACGTTGGACTCATCCTCCGGTAGGAGCTCATGAAATGAAGAATGGTGAATTCTGGGGTTTTTCAATTCTTCATTTAAAAAAAAATATACCTGCTGCTTCCAGGATTTACTCCCATACTTTTCGATCCAACGATTCTGTTTTTGTTGTCATCGGAATGAAAACTAGCGGAAATTTTCTCGACTTCCCTGGACATAGAGTATCATTGTGCAACAATATACACATTCATGCATTGGTAATTGGCATCGAAAGCTCTCAATTAATAACTGTGGAAGTGCATTTAGAACACTAAGCTGAGAGCACGCAATAAGCTAATATGTGCTAAGCAATAAGATTGAAATGCAAATAAGAAGAAGAAGAAGAAGAAGGTTTTACTGGGTTTTTGAATTCCGCCTGATAACCATCTCAACGTTTTCTCAATTTATTTAATTTAAATATTGAGCACTAGAAAGCCTGATATTCTGTATATTGAATATCAATTCAACGCTATTTCATTTGTCTGAAAGCAATTTTATTGAAAAAACTGAAGTATCCGGATAGTGAAATTTCCAGCTCTAATCTGTGGTAAATTAAAAAATGAGAAAAATTATTCCGCACTTGTACAAACATAGTTCTGTTAACCCAATTTAATGATAGAAAACAAAATTTGTCGATTTCATTGATTCCTTACGAATAACGGACATTTGAATTTTTACCGACTTTTTCAGCAATTCAAAAACCCAGTAAAAAAAAACTGACTCCTGTTAAATAATCTAAGTGTGTACCGTTTGTACTCTATTTTCACCCTATAGCTTCGTCCTCTTGATAGATAGAAAATGGTCGTCCTGCATAAAGTTTCTTAAAATGACTTTATCTACAATGTTTCGATAGATGTTCATCAATTTTAACAAAACATAAAAAAGTTTTTTTTAATCAAAAATAAAGAACCTAAAAAATTAAGAAACTCTCTAGAAGACATCATAATACTACACTCAATAGTTTCGTCGCAAATGGGTATGTCCCACTGTGCAACGCCTAGAAATCCGATCCACAGATATTGTACTGAAAATCGATTTTTTTTCGGGGAACTAGTGCTTTCGAGGAATTGTACGATTTGGGAAACTGGTTCGTTCGGGGAACCGTTTTTCAGGGATAAAACCTTCAAAGAAACTGTTTTCGTGGAACTGGTTTTCGGGGAAAAGTCGTACAATCAAAAGAAAATATTGAGAATGTGTGGAAGAATTTCGGAGAGCCAAATTCAAGAAGATCAAGGACTTCGTACGGCTTCTATCAAAGATGTATTTTAGCTGACAATTCGACATTCAAGTTTTCTTAAAAGTATAAAATGATTTAGTATAAAATTTCGTGACGGGTCTCTTCTCAAAATGACATTTTTTTTTTTAATCAAAGGAAGACTCCAAACTTAACCACTCTGCAACTTTTTTTTTCGCTAAATTTGGCGTGCACATTAACTTATGCTCAGATATGAATATTGATAATTAATCCACCCCACCATCCCCCGGTGGCGACACTAATGTCTGTTTTAATAATTAAAATTTCCCATTTCGCACAAAACGTGCTCCAGTTTTTTTTTTGCTTCGCCTTGAGGTGCTAAACCTTCATTTACTTTTCGCTTTACTTTCCTGTCTCATCTCCATTATCCCGCACAAAAGAAAACTGTCTTGGGTAATAACTTTTCCCGCGAAGAAAAGCCCGCATATCTTTTAACGTGAGAGGTGTATTTTTCATTCCTTGCAATTATTTTATCCATTTTACCCTCCTCCAACAACCGCGACTCGTTCTAACAAATTCGCCAACCCACACTGCAAAGTGTTTTTCCCGAAAGCTAAAAAAAAAAGACCGAAACCATACCTGTAGCAGGGTGGAAAACTTCCTCGATATCTCCTCATTCTTTTTGTCGTTCTCGTCGAGCCGATTTGCATACTCGAGTGTTTGCTTTTGCTGTTCCGCCAGCAATTTCTGCTGCTCGGCAATTTGTTTCGCCTGCTCGGTTGCCTTCCGCTTGCAGGTACGCAACTCGCTACGTAACACCGATAATTGATTATTGTATCTGCATCATTTCCGGCAGAGAAAAAATTGAAAGAAACAAGAGAGAGAAAAAACGATAGGTTAGCTTCCGTTGAGGTGATGTGGGTTCATTTTCATATCGATTTGGGTTCTGGCTCCTCGTACCTCTTCATTCCCTGTTTGATTTTGCGAATACCCTTCCGGAGCACCATGTTGCTCTGGGGTGGCGAGGACGAGCTCGAGTGTGATGTGTCCCGGGATAGGATGGAGGACGATACCTCCAGGGCCGTGAACGGTTTTGTACTAGATGCTGAAATGAAGATGGAAGGAAATCGGATTAGAGGATATCAATATTGATGGAAGGTCCAAAACCAAGCGTCTTCATAGCGTACTCCATTCACATGGAGACGCATGGTTTTCCACAAATTGACGCAAAAACCAAATGACGAGCCTATCTCGAGTAGCTTCTTCCCATAGCAACAACACAAATATCTCAATTTATCACAGTCGGTGGGCATCGTGGCCCTGTGGTTAGTGCCGTTCAGCCGTCCAGATGCAATGTGCTTTAGGATTAGACTTTGTTTTGCACAGAAGCGTTTGAACATTGCCTTGCTGGGTTGAGTAATAAAATATTCAAGGATAATTCCCGGACGGCTCCATTATACCAGTGATTTAAAATGGGACTCGATATCAAATCGTTAAATCCCATTATTGTTGTTTTCGCCTTCAACAGTGTCGTACTCGTACATAATAATGCTAACCTAGTTTTATAATGCTTGGCCATACTAGCATCAAAACAGTTACTAACATTGTTAAAAGCCCTAAGGTAGAAGATAAACGGATTGTTAAATCCGTAACTAGTTCGATGTGCAGGAATCATGATTAGAGGTGAGTGCCGATGAGGAACATTGAAGGAAACTTGATGAAAAGTCCCGAGCAATTGATGTTTTTTTTTCAGGACATTAAATGTGAACAATCGCTGCATCTGAAGACGTGTTGCTGATAGTAATATAGCTTAAGGTGAATCGCTGTGGAATTCTTATTTAACCTCGAATTTTCAAGAGCACGAATATCAGCTCCCAGAAAACATACAATGATGAAACTGGAACTTAATATTTACTGTAGTGTAGCAAACAGAGAGTTCTACTTTAATGAGCGATGTCATACTTGTGTCCGAGATTTGTGCTCTAGAAATCATGAAGTGATAGGTCATATCATCCATCATGAGGGCCATTTTTGGACGTTTCAAGGAATCTCATTAAGGTCAATCAGTGGACAACGTGCCGCGTAATAAGGTAGGTGGGTTAAATTGTTCGTCCCACGGAAGGTGACGCACTTCAGAGGGGTTGCATCGATTGTGTAGGCGTGATGGATAGGCGACCATCAGCGACTGAACGTGATCACTTTACTCATTTACTACAGATATCCATTTATATAGAATTCCAAGAGATACTCTCAACGCTATTTTGTGAAGAATTTCAAGGAAATTCTGGATGAATACTTAGAAGTATGATTGGACTTGCCGCACAATCATATCAATGCAAAAATGGCACAGGCATCGAAAGCTCTCAATTAATAACTAAAGTGCATCTAGAACACTAAGTTGAGAGCAAATGCCAAAATGAATTATAAACAGAATTTAAATGATGTTCTGAGCATAATTTTAAAAGGAATAGACTCAGGATTTCAAAAACCAAAGTCAGTCGCGGCATGAAAGTGGTCTGATTTTGAGCCAGGGATGACGGATTTTGTCACTATTGAAAATTGAACGAATGTGCAACTGTTGCTATGATAATTAAAATTATCCCAATGGCCTGACAAAAGCGCTTTCCCCAACACAGTTTTCAAAATTGAATTCCATCCGGCCTCACCGAACGGTGTTTATCCAATCACCGCGTGTGGTGAGTGGTGGTGTTCTCCAGTACACAACGAAAGGCTCCCCACAAGCAGCTAGCTATCAAGGCTGCCCTCAACCGCTGATCGGATTCAGTTGCTCCTCGTGAGCCGCTGTGGGCCATCTATGCCAAGCGCGTCATCATCGTTCCAAACAACATAGAAGCCGTCAACCTCATCCGCGTTGAACACCCCAATAGCTTAGCATTACTCAACCATCACGACAAAATGGTTCTCTTCAGGACTACCGCTCGCCTTGCTACCAGCCACATCACTCGCTAAGCTCTTTGATAATGTACCCAGCAACCAAACGCTTGTGGTCAAATGCGTAACAGTATTGAAGTGGTACATAAAAATTCTTGCAATAACCGAATACTACATGACCTTGTCAATTAACCAGAAACACCAGAATTAAGGTAAGGTTTTCTCCAGGACTCTAGAAGAAAGCTAAAAAATCACGAATATCTCGCGATTGGAACTTTTCAGCAAGAAATTCCTCCAATCAATTTTCGCTTTTCTTATTATCTATTGAATACACCAAAAATTCCGTGATTTTGTGATCAGAAAACGAGGCATTTCCGTGATGGGAAAAAGTGGTTTCCCTAACACAGTCGCCGAATATTGATACCGAGCACGTAATCCTACACCAAATCTACGGTCGTGTCTTGGATACAACCTCCTTCTTTTTATCAGAATGGCGTCTTTGTCATTTTTCAATAATTTGCAGCACGACAACGTCACTTGTGATCGAAATGACGTCTGAGACAAAGTTGTAGAAAAAAGAGTCTTTCTGTTGTGCATCCATAAATTACGTCACGCTTCTAGGATGGTCATGTCACATCACCATATTTTTTAGTTATAATTTGTGAGATCTTATAGCATAAGTACATTGATATGAGTCAAATTTGCTAAAAATCATAATTTTTTTTTTGCTTTATTTAAAAGGTTTTCAGTTAGGAGCTGGTTTACCCAGAGGCGGGATGTGCTGTGAAATCATCCTACTTATCCTCCATCAATGAGATGTAAATAGGTAAGGCCCACTGAATTTAACGTTTCTTTCGTTCTCCCGCTGTTTAAATGGTTGAAAGAGTGTGACGTCACACTCTGGCCCATTTCAACAGACGGAGAACGAAAGAGACGAAAAATTCACTGCTTACACTCATGGATTTTCCATATGTGAATTTGGCTCCAAACATCAACAAACCATCGTTGCTTGTTGTCGATTGGAGCAATGCGAGCTAGCTTGTTCGTATGACAGTCACCTCCCTTCCTTGGGTTTTACCTTGGGAAAAGAAATCACACCATCTTAACATCGATGCTATGTGAAACATTTATTAACTTTCAAAATGCACAGATAGCACATTTGGTTTTTAAATTGCTAAGTTGTAACTGTCTCGACAATTTGGAATAACAAAGAGGGAAGTTCCTTGAACCAGTTGGAAAACACCTCAGAAACATTGAGGGTTTCGTGAACTAGAAATTAGTAAAAAAAAGAACCCAAAACAGTCGTAAGATCCATGAATTATGCAGAACTTCCATAGGTCTTTTTCAAGGTACCGTGTAAAATGTAAAATCGGTGATCGTGTCGGAAGAACATAACGGAAGATCTGTGAAATTTTTTGAAGTTATGTTAATAATAGGGTCAGTCAAACTTAAAAGATGTTTCGAGTTGTTCCTGGAACTGTCGGAGATGTTGTTCGAGATGTCTCAAATGGAAGTTCTATGAACTTTTCTTTTGAAACTTGGGAAGTTCGAAGAAAATTCGAGAAGTCGGCGGAGCATCCGGAAAGTCTTTAGAATATCCGAGGTGTCCGTAGAATATCTGAAAAATCCATAAGATTTCCGAAAAGCCCGTAGATCTTCCAAAAAGTCCGTAGATCTTTCAAGAAGTTCGTAGATCTTCCGAAAAGTCCGTAGATCTTCTGAGAAGATCGGAGAACTACCTGAGTTCGTAAAACTTCAGATAAGTAGAATCATAGAGGTAACTCTAAGACCAGCATGTCCCGAAGAAAAGTGCACAACTTTTTGGCTCAGCTCTAGTACTATCTTCGGTATCAAGCTAATCGATGCACCCCTAGAAACATTGGAAAATCAACGAACCCCTCATTTTATCTGTCAAACTTTCATAGCGTCAGTGGCGTCACCTTAACCTCAATCTACTTGTACACCAACTCTCAAAACATAAACAATTATCAAAATATTGCTTGCAATGGATAGATATCGAGTTAACTAGAAGATAAAGTGTATTATTCAACCGATTCGAGTATGAATATGGCATTAAATCTGTTTTTGAAAGTTGGTGCACAGGTAAAAAGTGAGGTTACGTGACGCCACTGCATAGTGTAGTACTAGAATTTCGACTAGAATGGGATACGTTAATTAATTTGCTAGAAACCAATAGGCTAGTCAAGTAGTCAGCCAATTTTAAATCGTTAGTTTCTACCGGTTGGTAGAATTTCCGAAATATTCGTAGAATATCCGAGGCGTCCATAGAACTTCCGAAAAGTTTATAGAGCTTCCGAGAAGTCCATATAATATCCGATAAGTCCATATAACATCCGAGCAGACCGTAGAACTTCCGAAAAGTCCGTAAAACTTTCTAGGAGTTGATATAAGTTCCAAGAACTCTGTAGAGCTTCCGAAAAGACAGTAGAACTACCAAAAGTCAGAAGAATATCTGAAAGGATCCTAAATCTTCCGAGAAGTCCGTAGAATATCCGAGAACCCCATAGAACTTCCGAATGGTCCACTGATCTTCCGAAAAAAAAACATTGATTTTCTGAAAAATCCGTTGAACTTATGTGTAGTCCGAGCGGCGCCAGTGGTGTAGAGGTAAGCGTGATTACCTTTCACCCCAGCAGGCCTGGGTTCAATCCCAGTCGGCGTCGCAGGGATGTTCTGAGGCATAACATCTTTGAGCACGCCTTCCTTCGGATGGGAAGTAAAGCCGTTGGTCCCCGGTTCATGAGTTGATGGGTCCATAGGTAAGGTCCAGGTGTGGGAGCTGCCTTCCTGGCGTATCTGATTCGTAGCAAAACTGCTCGCGATACTCCCAGTGACTAGCGATTTCGTCTAGAACAGCTTCTATTCGGTCCTCACGCCAATAGAGTTCTACCATAGAGGTAACTCTAAGACTAAGACGTGCTCAACTTTTAGCCTCCGCTCTGGTATTATCTTCGGTCCCAAGCTAATCGATGCACCCCTTGAAACATAGGAAAATCCAAGAACCCCTCATTTAATCTGTCAAACTTTCATAGCGAATCAAAACAAACATAGTGTAGTACTAGAATTCCGACTAGAATGGGGTACGCTTATAGATGCACTTGGAATCACTTATGAGATTTTGACATTTTTTCAAGATCACAGATTTGCAAAAAAAAATATATTTATGAGTCGTTGAGTCATAATTGTCAAGGC